ACTCACCCTCAAAGATTATTTGACTCAACGTCTGATTTCGTTTCAGGATGATCGAGGAAGAGTCCGACCCGGATGCGACTCTGTCGCCGGCAGCCGTGGACCACGGCACCCAGCAACGTCCACCGCCGTCATCGTCCACACCTTCTTCATCGTCAACCGTCATCGGTTCCGGTGCCGGTGCCGGTGCCGGTGCCGCTGCCGCTGCCGCTGCTGATATCGAATCCCTCGCCGCAGCAGCAACCGCCGCTGCAGCAGCAGCGACACCCATCGCCGCCGCATCCTCCGTCATTGGCGATACCAGCGCTACCTGTCCGCAGATGATGTTCACCGCCGCCGTAGCAGCCGTCGCCGCCGCCAGCGGTGACCCCAGCGCCCTGTCTCCTTCGTCGCCATCGTCGCTGTCGTCGTTGTGCCGGTCGACCGTGTGCAGCGAATGCGGTACGGTAATCAAGAACGCGGCCAACATCAGCGCCCACATGCGCAAGCATCTACAGTACAAAGCGTTCTTCTGTTCCTCGTGTGATTATCAGGTACGTGCTAAGAAGGTGTGCCTTGCGACATTACGTTTTCTACAGTACGAGTATGAAAGTTTTACTCGTTCTACAGCCAAATTCGTACTAAACTGAAAGCGAATACCTTCTGGCAGGAATGTAAAAATTTTTCGCTTCGCTAACTAACTGTGCTTTAACCGTAAAAACAGTCGTTAGCTTCTGTCAAAAATGTGGTGTGAGCTTGCGAGGTCCTCTTCTTGCTACATTCGACGGTATATCATCATGACCTGGCTCAGGAATGTCTGCGAAACGCGTCATTGAAGTAAAAATTGCGAACAAGGATTGGTCAACAGCAACATCTCTTGCGATATGTCGCATTCACAGTGACAGTGATAGGTTCCTCATCGTTCATTCAGACACACCATCAGTGGATGTGCAGGTCTGGGCAACACTGTTTTGACGGATTTTTCTTGCCATTTGCTTGACACCGTCCGTAAAACATTTGTCGACCTTCTTGTTCATGA